AAGGCCAAGGCCCCCCTCTAATATTTCGATATATAACACCCCAAACTTGGGAAATTTATAAATAAAAAAAGAGAGTATTTTCCAGGAAAAAGTATCACAAATATTAGTTCCCAAAACTAACAACTAATAAGCAAACACTTAAAATTCTTCCAAAAAGAATTTGAAATATTTTTCAAATGATCTATAAGTATCAGAACTGTTAATTTTTTTCTCGTAATAAAAGTAACTACTACTAAACAAGAATAGGTAATCAACATCACAAAAAAATGATTTTTTTTCTTGAAGAAAGTGATTAAAATCAACAAAAACTTAGAAAGATTTTTCGGACAATATGTGATTATCAAAAAATTGATTTTTTGTCAATAAAGTAACAACTAAACAAAAATATTGGGGGTTGACGACAAAGGTGTAATTTCGTCCATAGAAGTGATTATGGAATCTTCAAAATTATTACCGTTGGACACACTTTCGGTCTATAACTCTCATCGAACGAGGTGATGAATAACGAAATTATTGATGGTACGATATAATTTTGATTAAGGGTGAAAAAAATCTCAATATATAATACAAACGAGTGCAGTAGGTTTCTAATTTCATGGTTAAAAACGTATAGTATAATTATTCATGGACTAATGAAAGAAATATATCTCAAATACGTCCAACTCATTTTTTGTATTGTAGAACAACTATGGTAGTTTCGTTATCTCAATTTAACTTTTTCTCATCACATAAATTATTTATTGGAGATCGTTAATTGTGCTTATCTCAATCAAAATTATATTATGGATCATTGATATTTTTTTAATAATTATTTTCAGCGTATACATGTAATTATCAACGTAGAATATACTTTGGAGTAACGAAGCAAGATTTGTTGGGATTAATCATGTGGTGCTTTAATTTAGTTCTTTGCGAAAAATAAAGGGCTTATTTATCATAGTTTTGACTATCCATCCATCTGAATCTATATTACTTTAAAAAGTATGAAGGTCCTTATAAATATTGATTTAATTTTTTACTATTCAATTAAAAACTTTATAATAGACAAAATTGTGATTTACTATTTTCTTATTATTAATTATCTTTATAATATTTAAAATTAAGAATTAAAGTCCTAAAATATATGGTAAGGAAAAAAAAATGTGATAAGAAGCATTAGGAAAATTAATAATTTAGGAAACCTAAAATATATGGTAATTAAGGGGAAAATATATTTGAAAAAATAAAAAGTCCTAAAATTTATGGTAAGAGCTATTAAAATCTATAACAAATTTATTCACTTATAACAATTATCTTTTTTCTTAAATTACTTAATTATCCATCACAATTATATTTTTATAATTATAAACACTAATAAACTGTTTTTAACAACATTAAGAAACTAACTGCTGTTACTTTTTAAAAAATTGAATACGACTTTTTATTAGATTTACTTTAGGTTTAGGATTCCTTTTTATCAATTAATGTTACTTGACTTTGAAGAATCAAATGTGGGCAGTAATTTTGAAACACCACTGAGCTAACGAAAATTAACTTTACGTTTAGGAATTTCTTAGAATTTATTTTCCCAATTAATTTACTGATATAGAAAAGCATGAATTTTCTGACTCATTGTTTGGTACAATTAATTTGGATATATATTGCGCAGGATTCATTAAAAAGAAAAATAGGTTATTTTACACTTCCAATAACAAAAGAAAACAATTATGAGCTAAACCAATTCATCATTTGATCTTATTATTTAATAAGCAAGCACAATTTGAGAAAGAAAAATCATATGGCACATATATAGTACTTGATCATAACTAATAAACTATAATATATGAGTAACGATGTTTTACAAACAACTTGTAACTTTATTAAATTAATAAGTAGCTAACTATATCACAACATGTACTAAAAGAAGTCAAATTCATCAAGATTGATATCGTTTGCATCATTCTTTGATATTTCATTATCTTCTGAATTCATACATTCATTCTCCAATGCAGCAAGAAAGTCATCCCCAACATCCACCTCAATATTATCATCAATCTCTTCTAATTCTTCCATAACAGAATCGATTAATTCATTAACTTCAACATCATTCATAATATTCTCATCTTTTCCCTTATCATCATGATCACGCCTTTGTTTCTTCTTCTTGATCTTACAAATTACAAAATCCTTATATATAATTTTCTTCTTCATATTAGTAACATAATCATTATCCAAAGAGTATTCGGTCATCAACCACTCGCCGAACAACTCCTTGATTATTGACTTTTTGTTAGTATCGGGAGTGTACTTCATATGATGGACGTACCCCATAAGTCTACCTCTATCATCAAACACTTTCTTCGCTAGGTCTTGTATTTTCCATATGCCCTTTCCAACAATTCGCTTAAATCTTTTATGATGCGGCTTCTCTTTCTTCAACGGTGTAATGAAGTAACCTGCGTTGGTGTTAGTACCTTCAAGAATCTCCCATGGCTCCTTTTCCGCGTAAAGATCAACTAGCCGCATGAATTGATGTTGCTCAGGAAGTGGCTCATCTATCGCAAACCCTAGTAGATACTTGATAACATCGCTCTCCTTGGGGTAAAAATTATAGCTCTCTGAATATCTCTTTCGTTGACGATGATGAATAGCGGTCATTATACTTAAGTGATGAATATTAAACAAATTAACAATAGTGGATGAATCAAGCAAAAAGAATATCCTTAAAACCCTAGTAATTAAGTTGTATAAAAACAATATGATACTATAATGGTTTAATAGCTTTTAGCGCAAATATATAGTTTTATAAAAGATGTAATCCTTATTGGAAATGGACGTATTAAGTTTACAACTTTGGTAACTCGAAAGTTTTTTGTTTTCGAAAAAGAAAAGGATTAAGATTTATGTAATTTAGGAAACCCAAAATACATGGTAATTAAGAGAAAAATATATTTGAATAATCAAAAAGTCATAAAATTTAAATTTTCAGTAAGAGCTATCAAAATCTATAACAATTTTATTCACTTATAACAATTATCTTTTTTCTTAAATTACTTAATTATCCATCACAATTATGTTTTTATAATTATAAACACTAATAAACTTTTTTTAACAACATTAAGAAACTAACTTCTGTTACTTTTAAAAAAATTGAATACGACTTTTTATTAGAATTACTTTAGGTTAAGGATTCCTTTTTATCAATTAATGTTACTTGACTCCGAAGAATTATATGTGGGCGGTAATTTTGAAATACCACTGAGCTAACGAGTTAAAGTAATTAATGGGATCTCTTATTGTGAGATTTTAGAAAACACTCTCTTTAGCTCTTAAAGAGTTAAAGTAAAAGGTGACAGTATAAAAATTATATTTTCGAAATTCAAATGATATGAATTTGAGCAATATCTTTAAGTATATTTTTTCATTGTCTTGACGTGAGAAGAAAGGTAACTTGTAATTTTTTTTATTGCTTTTGAATATATAAATTCTAATTTTAAAATATTAAACAAACCTAATCTAATTTAGTAAAAAAATGAGTCAAATTGACTTTAAAAAAAGTGAAAGTCCTCACATAAATGGCATAAAGGGAGTGTCTCCTTTTCTTTTCCACGGATGAATTCAAGTTCAACTATTTCTTTTATTTTGTTTTCTACGCATGTATGATATTTATATTGGGGCTTAAATAATTTAAATTTGTGTCACGTAAGACTTAACTATTAAGAGAAAAAAATGTTTCTTGCTGATATTTTTTTCATAGAATTTAAACTCGAAATATCTTATTAAAGGTAAAAAGATCTTATTCATTTCACTACAATCAATCTAGTAATTAAATTTAGTTTATTAAATATTTATAAATATCTGATTAATACCAATTATTATAAGTGTAATGCTATTTATAGAAGGCCGCTACATGAATTCATAAATTCCAAATGTTGATCGTCTGCTATTGAATTTGTCAATATGATATGAAGCCATTAAAAATATCTACACATAAGACCTTAAATTAAATATAAGACAGATTACCACACAACATCTTTTATATATATATATATATATATATATATAAATAAATAAGAAATCAATTCAATTTATTTTATATTATTAATACAAAGCTGAATAATAAATCCATACCTCTTTATATGTCTTTATTATATTTACTTTATAGTCTTTAAAGTTTGAACTTTATAACTTTTTATAGAGTTTTCAAGTTAATATATATTAATTGTTTTTATGATTACATATTTATCATAA